ACAGGGGGAAACACCAAGCATCCTGTTGTTGTACAAATATCTGGGGGGTTAAATTTGACGTCTTTCAATATTTGTAGGTAAGGCTGGAATGGGCTGAATCTGACCTCTGAGGCAGCAAGAAGGAGAGAGTCTGCCTGGGTTTTGCCAAACAGCACTACCTCATTGCTAGTCACTGCCCCTCCACATGGAGGCTCTACATTGTCATTCAAAATAAGAATTTTGTTGCTGTTTTCTGCTGGTATCAGTTCTTTGGCTCTAAAATTGCTCAGAGGCAAGAGGGACAAAGTTGCTAGAGTTTCCAGAACTGGATCTGAGTTATTTTGGTGTTTTGCAGTGTTCTGGCTGAGGAGAACACTGGGAGTCAGGGTAGGAACAGGAGGTTCTGTGGAACCTGAAGGGAAGTCTGCCTCTGCAATGACTTCTGTGGCAAGCTTTTCTTTGCTTAGGGAAATATCTTGGGCAATACGTGTGGAACTCTGTGCAGGCTCAGAGGCTGCACTAATTATTTTCTCAGTTTCATGGGGCAGAGGTGGGGTTTGAGTTTGCACAGCTTGGTCCTTAGAGAGACTGTGTTTTTCTTTACTCAGTCCTTCTAGAATTTTTAATCTCTGGCTGGTGTTCTGCATTAAAATATTAGTTTGTTCTAACTGAGCCTTGATCTTAACAAGTTCCCTCTGTAATCCTTCTTTATCTCTAAGATTGGCTGCTAGTTTTTCTTGAAGTTCCTGGTTTTTCCTAGTAAGCTGCACAATGTCTGCATCCTTTTTCCCATTAAGTTCTGTTATTTTCTCCGGAAAGGGAAATCTTTCCCAAGTGGGGAAACTGCTGCTTTTCCCTGCAGGCTCTGCTACCAAGAGATCAAGGTGTTTCTGAGAGATTAGATTGGGGTGAAATTGACTGGCTCTTCTGTCTACCATAAGGGTTGCAGGTTTTGTATTCCCTGGAGCCCCAATACCTGCAAAAAGGGTCGGTCTGCCCCATGTGTCTGGCGTAAGCTTTGCCAGGACACCCTGGGGGAGGAGGGGCTCCGGGCACCCCTAGTAAGAGTGAAAAGGGTTTGTGGTAGTAGCCTCTGTAGTAGTGACTACCGGTGCCATAGGTGGGTTATTTTGGTTTTCGCTATCATAAAGGGCTTTGAGAAGGAGAGAGTCCGGTTGCCCATCAAACTGATCCATATCAAAGCCCCTATTTTTGAGAGACATCCACATATGCCAACGCAAGGCATCTGTGCTCTGTCCTCCTTGGCGCCATTGCTGCGGAGGCGCAGTAGGTCCTTGAGGCAGTTGCGGCTGTTTTATGGCTTATGGCTGTGGCATATATACATGCGCCTGCCCTGTCTGTTGTGGTGGGTAGTTTATTTGTGGCTCTGGTGGGGCAGAGGGCTGGGGAGGTTGCCAGTGAGCTTGCACTGGAGCAGGATTGCGGTATGCTCCCCGGTTTTTTCCTCTGTAACCACCTTTGCCACGGCCATTGTACCTTCCCTCATATTTATTTCCTACATAATTAGAGGGTTGTGCTGCGTTGAATTGGGAGTGCGGGCTGTGATTCGCATAAGTTATTGCCTGGATAACTTCTTCCTCTTCCCTGTTCTTGTCTTCGTACATCTCTCTAAACGTGGCAAATCCTCAATAGTGCGGATCTTTGGTGGCTCAGTAGAGCTCCCGTCCATCATTTTAGTTGCTTGTTTAAACATACTCCTTACTCCTCCTTCTTTTTGCTCTTGGCCGAGGCAAGCTTTTAGCTTATTCACCCCTTATTCACCCCTCGGGTCCGAGAGTTATGGTTTTTAAGGCTAGAATTCCCTGCCTGGTTTACCAAAAACCCTTTAAATTTGAGGTTTTAATAGGCGAGATTTCCTATCTCCGCCGGGCAGCCCCTCAGTAACCCGATCTAGTGGTTTTACTTAGGCAAGACCTCAGTCCTTTGCCGGGGTTACCATTAACCCTGTTTTGGAGTTTTGAGCGTGGGTTTGGCCTGGACCTCACGTCTCTCACCGGATCGCTCCTATTTAACCAGTCAACTAAGGTTTTTGAGCATTCCACCCACCGGGATTACCTTCTACTAACCCGGGAAGATTTCAGGGCAATCTACAACCAGTGGATCCCTTGAGACACTATGCCTCAGTGAGTGGACCTGTAGCTCACATTAACTTGAAACACTCTGCTTGCAAGTCAAAGCTCGGACAGCTTCCAGAGAACTGGAGGAGGGATGGAACCTTAAATTGGTATAGACAAGGCTCAGCTTAATTGCTTTTTGTATGTTACGTGTACAACTGTCGTGTGGGACTCTGTGGTGTACGGCAAATTCTAACACCCTACATTATCGTTCTGCAATTCCAACCCACAAAATAGACCAGGATGCAGCTCGTAAGTAGCCTGTAGGACTGCGTGCGGAATGTCCCTTGCGTTCGGATCCTGATCAGTCATGGGATTGCTCCTAGCAACGAGGCCCAGTGCGGCTGACCTTCCACACTGAAGGAGAGAAAGGGGAAAAACCACCCACAAAAGTTGCTCACTACAGCCAAGCATACAAGAACTCTTTCACACAGCTGTTAGCCGAATTGCTCTTTAGGAGAGACAATTGGAACAGTTTATTACTTGGGATTCAGGTCAGTGTATACGAAGGATGGGCTGCACCACTACGTTTCCAATGAAGAGACAGAAACGGATGTAAAGTTCATTTTGCTTTACTGGGTATCATTCAAGACACACAATAACATACACACATACACACAAGAACTGAGTAAAAACAGAGAGATTTTGTACAGCACGGTTGCATGAGCAGGTGTATTGTTAATATTTACCTCAGGCGCAGCTTGGCTCCTAAAGCTTCCAGCAGAAAAGGGGTTAGGGAGGGAGAAAAATATAAATGGGGAAAAGAGCGTGTAATCAGACCGGCTGAGAACACATGTAACACTCTAACGGCCGACTAGAGTGGAAAGCTAGGCAAGGGTTTTAATACAGGGAGCTGGATTTGAGAGGAAAAAGCAGACAGACAGAGGTCGTAGGTGAGGGTAGAAAGGATGAACTGGCTGCTCTGTGTTCTAAGTTTTAAAACTGCTTGCGAGCATGAGGGGGTGGGCTCAGGCAGCTTACACCTGTTGGCCCTTCCCTACAGATCTGGGATTGGCTAGAGGGTCAATTTCCAATCTATTGATTAACTTGATCATTGGTACCTGGGAGGGGAAAGAGAGGTACGTGCAGAGACAACAGTAGCAGCGCTGATTCATCACCATGTGGATTCTTCATGTGGAATGGAAGCCTGTTGTAGTCTGGTGCAAGGGGGAATCCTGGAATAATCCTCTCATGTGTCTGGGCTAACTAATGAGTTTTCTGTGTTTGCTGTAAACCTTGTGTTTGCTCACACACAATAAGCTGAAGACACTGGGACACCTCTGGAATGATGTTGGTTCAGCAAATCTTCTCTGGGTGCCCTCAAGTTGAACTCTATTGCACAGTCTCTTTTATTAGCCCTTTGCATCAAACTTTATTTCATATAATATAGTCCAAAAATAGCCCAATATGAAGCATCTGGGCTAACAGTATGCAAGATGAAACTTTGTCACCAGAGAACTGGCTCCTTTTTGCTACCAAAGAGTGTTGTGGATTGTTTAAGTTTGCTTGCTGCTTTATTTATTTTATTTATTTACCAGTAGGTCCTTCAAATAAGATAAATCATATTTTTTGACAAGTCTGGCTGTTGTAGACTTTATAGAAATTTTCTAAAATCTAGTTGCCCTCTCCCGTTTCTGGAGGAATTGTATAGTTCTTGATGCTTGAAAAAAGCAAAGAACATTCTGCAGGATTTCTCACACCCTGAACACTCCCTGTTTGAACTGCTGCCTAAGGGTAGAAGATATAGGACAATTAAAACAAGGACAAACAGATTAAAAATAGTTTTTATTTGAGAGCTATTATTGCTTTAAATGCTGTATGAAATTGGAATTTGGGTGACATAGGTGGTTTAAGTTGCAATGTGAACCTTAAGGGAGTTATGGGATGGTTGTGAATGGTTGTGTGAGTGTATATGAGTATGGTTGTAGATCACCGAAATGAATGCATCTTTAATTTCATTGTACTATGTACAATGACAATAAAGTATATCATCATCATCATCATCATCATCATCATCATCATCATCATCATCATCATCATCATCATCATCATTTCCAGGTTTTACCAGGAGTGATGTCATAGAATTGTCAGCAATAGGGATGCCCTGGTGGGGGTCTCCTGCTGCTAGGCCACACCTCTCTGCTGCTGGCCAGCTGGCCAGCAGGGAGGAATTTCCCCCCCCCAAAAAAAGGGAGGAACACCCGGCATTTCAGCAACATGCCTATGTGACCCGGAAGTGATGTAGGGACATTAGAGGCAAAGCTCTGGTTTTGGGGCAAAAGCTCTATGGTAGAAGCTAATTCTACCATAGAGTTTGGCCCAAAAATCACAGCATTGCCCCCCCCCCATCACTTCCGGGCCACACAGGCACGCCACTGAAATGCCTGGCATTTCTCCCTGCTTCTGGTAAATGCATCCCCCATCTCCTGCCAGCTGCTGGGAGGGACCTTAGTGATCGATGCTGGAAGTCCCTCAGAAAAAACTTTATAGGATACATGCGGTGGATTCCCACTGCTAATGATTACAGAATTTTCTCCATATATATATATGTCAACTGATGATCCACATCATATACTTGATGAAGTGGGCTCTAACCAATAGTTGTTTATGTATGCTTGAGAGCAGAGAGCTGTGTCTCTGGATTGAAGTGACCAGTTTGGGGAGATGTAATAAATACATGCTGAACTTTGGAGCTGAGCTGTTTCATTTGCATATTACAAAGTCATTCCATTTTTGCCCCTTTAAGGAACTCTGTCCATCCTTGAACAAAGAAACGGATTGATAAACACCACTTAACTACAAGCCCCTTTTTAAATATAAATAATGATATTTTATTTAAAATATTCATTCTGCAGAAAAAGTCTGGCTATCATTTCAGGTTTGAGTTTATTTGTTTCTAACTGCAGAATGGTTCTTAGGGACAGCCAGAAATCTCTTTTTCTTGAGGAACTGTGGGCTACCCAAATTATTGTCCCAAACGTATTCTGGGGAAAGTATTTTTGTTGGTTTATGGTACACAAAATACTTGTTTAGGTGGCTTTCTTCCTGCCAGATAGCCTCTATGCCTTTATTTTTGTCAGCCATGATGGCTTCCTGGCACTTTTTGGTGAGCATGTAAACTTCAGCCACAGTTCCTCCAAAGAAGCCTCCAGCATAGTAAAAATCACCCTCGTCTTGGGGAATGTAAGCTTCAGAGTTGGGACGTCGTTCGTAGGTGAATGCTTTGCGCTCAGAGGCATAGAAACCCGGGTGAATTGTGCCAAATACCTCACTCAAAATCTCTACTCCAACATGGTCACTAAACCGCATGTCTACATCAACGCACACCAGAAAGTCAACTTCATGGATAAAGCGCTGTTGAGAGTAGTGACTGATCATCTCCATCCGACGCATGGAGATTTCTTGCCACCTGGGATAGTTTTCAACTCTGAGAGGGACTAGCTCCCTTCCAGCTTTGACAGTTATGTTAGGAACAGCTTCAGGTCTATCAGTGAAGATATAATACTTCACTCTATGGCCAACCATGAAATAAGTCTCTGCGGTTTCTAGAAATTTCTGGAGGAAGATAACATACCTAGAAAAAACAGAAATAAGGTTATCATTAGTTATGGAATATGAACACAAAAGGGAACTGTCCAGAAACAATTGGGAGTCACTTGCACATATTTGTTCAGAGAAGAAACACCATCACAGTGAACCTCATAACTTGTCAAATGTTTATATAGATTCTGGGGAAGGGGTCCTTTGTGTGTTTTTTCCTTTCTGCAAAACTGAAAGAATGCTTGAATGTAGCCATCTTATTTAGAATATTCCTATGCCATGTTTCACATTCTAAGGCACTAGACAATAACAGAAAATTAACACACAAGGGATCAGCTGTAACTGACGAAGGCCGTGAGAGGATAATGATGTAGAATATCCTCTCCCAATCCTTCCATCTTACCATCTCCACCACCCAGAGCCCCTCCCTGAGAAGTGTGTTATTGAGCAGTCAGCACCAGCACCAGGGAACTCCTTGTGGTGTGACTTCTCTTCAGCTGGGCACCTATCCCCAGCAGCACTAGAGACTGAAGGCACCAGGGGACAGTAAAGTGTCATTTGTGTCAGGGACTTCTCACACACCTTAGATCTACATCAACATATATCAGGGGGGCACCAAATGCAGGCTTCTTGTCCAAAATGAAGGCAGTGAGATAACCTAGTTATTTTCGCTGCTAAAATGGTGGTGTTCACAGGTTGGCCCAATGTCACACTTATTTTGGCCCTGAGGAGGCAACATGGAGGCATTGAGATATCCTGGATCTGTATCTGGGATGGAAACCTCCTGGGAACACTGTGTATGCCACTTTGTGTTTCACAGAAGAAAGCCTGGATAACACCTCATTGACAGAGTAGGCTGCCTACTGTGTCTCTGCATGACTCACAGCTTTGGTCTGGTAACCTTCTGATCAGACTTTCAAGCAGGGCAGCCATGTCCCTGCAGCCACTGTGCTTGAGTCATTCATTCAGCACACCCTCCCCCCACTATGCATCCATAATGAGACAGAGAAGGGGGGGAAGACCACCAGCAGAAAGAATAAATTCTCATAGGCATGAAAGGTCAGACTTGAGAGAGCCAGACCCCAATACCACTGCCTGATTTCCTCTCCAGTTAAGTCATGCTCACTTATACAAAGCAACATGTACAGGTTTTAATCAATGGAATATTTAGATTCCAATTTATTGCATATGGCTAATGGCCATTACAAATACAACACAATACAATAGAAGCTATAAAATACAAAATAAAATCTGCATTAAAACACCGGGATTAAAAATATAAGATATGTGTCAAGCATAAAGCTGGCTACATTCTTAAAATAATATAAGTTAAAAACTAAAACATACAGAATGAATATAGGATTTGGAGCAAGGACCTTATATACCTTGACATAGCACTGGCTATTTAGCCAGCAAAGATTTAGTCAACTTGATTTGAATTTACTTTGCTGCTAGGGCAAAAAGTGCAACCTTGTACGAATACTCTGGCTCTACTTCTGCAAGTAAAGTTATAACTTTCCCAGATGTGGAGCAGGGGCCCAATTTATCTAAGATCGTGCCAAGAAATGTCTTTCTTGGGAATGAATAGAGTGGACAATCCAGCAGGTAATGACACAGATCTTCAGGGTCTGGGCCACCACATATGCAAAGTTGCTCAGTTGCTGGTATTTTGGTATATTGGCCTTCCTGCTGTTTGCATGGTTTGGAAGTAGAGGGATGTAGAAACTAAACACAAATTAAGGAAAGGAATTTTAGTCAAATAATGTGCCCTGTGGTGATCCACTTTAATTAATTTATACCAAAGAGATTATTTATTTCTTAGTATAACTTCTCTGTCTAGGCTGACATCATGTGTGCATATTTGCACCTTGCCATCAAAATTGGCCTGAAAGGTTCCATGGACAACAACCAACAAATTATACATCTGAAGGATCGTATTATACTTAGATTGCCAATTAGGGTATTTCAAGCTTTCAAAAAAAAAAACAACCCAGAGGCTGGCAAGATTATCTGCTGGAGCTCTTTTCAGTCTGTGCCAATAGTTGAAAAAGATTTTATGAGCAGGACCCTGAAGGGAGAGAAGACTCACTTCAGCTCCCAGCAGCGCAGATGGGGTATTTGGGGGAAGTGTGAACAGCCTTTTCAGAAAAAGATTTTGGATTTTCTCCAGGTTTGTGATCAGAGAATTGTTCCATCCCCAAACCTTGACACCATATAAAAAGGTTGTCCTCTATCTCCACCCACTGCCTGTTTTCCTATCTAGTTCAGTCATGTTCCAGTTAAGTCATGCTCACTTTTTGATAGCAAATACTGTCAGTCCAACAACCATGTTGCTTTGTCTGAACTGCTCATTTAAGATATCCAAGTTGTAAGTCCCTTCCCAAATGACTGGAGCAAACCAGGGAGTCATTGTAAGAACATTGCTTTTCCTGTGGGGGAAGAAGACATTTTAGAAACACATTACAAAGGTACACAAACAGATTACACTTTTCCAAGCTACAGAATCGTTAATTCCTTCCCAGAAGGCATGGGGCGCAATTCAGCAGGTGCTCAGAACAGCCGTTGCTGAAAGTGCTGAAAATATTACTTACGGAGGTTTAAAGAGCTGTGGTTTTGTGTAAACCATTCTGAAAGAGAGAAGGGTAGAGGTTAGGTTTACTCCAATATGACACTGAGACAGAACAAGTCAAAATGTTTATGATAAAATGAATGGATAATTTTGAGAAAGAGAAGAATGCCCAAACCGAGAGAACTGGAAAGATAAATTAGCTGAATATGCAAAAATGGCAAAGTTACCAAGCTATGTAAATAGAAGACCAAATAAGAATTTCAAGAACTGTTATGCATAAGTTAATATTCTGAATTTTAATTTATTTATGAAGTTGCATAAGTGTGAAAAATGAGGATATATCTAAAGCAGAATATCTTCCTTATAACAGTAATACATGTAATATAATTTTATGCTGTTTCCTTATTTTATTGATTGAGGTTATATGATTTCATTTTCTCCAAAGATTTCTCAAGATAATTCTAATGTTATTAAAGAGTTAACAGGGCTACCTACAGAGAAATTGTTTGTATTGCCATCAGATTAATATTATTTGAGGTCTGGTCAGTCAGATTTATTCCAAGATATTTAACTGTTTTTTCGCATCCTATAATTTTTTTAAATCATTTTCCTATTCCTGCTTCATCAGATATTTTGAAATTATTTTCAGCTTTTTTCCTGTTAATTTTGTATCCCAAGAAGGTCCTAAATTTCTCAATTTGTTTTATTATATGATATAATGACAAGTGGGGATTCTGAATTATTAAAACCACATAATCAGCATATCTTTTTTTTTTTTAATTCTTCTCTGTCAACTTTCAAGTTTTCTATTTTGGGTCTTGTCTGATTTTGACTACAAACACTTTCAACACAAGAATGAATGGAAGTGGAAGAATGAATGCAACCTGAGAAGGAGTTTCAAGAGAGGGGCAGCACAAAAAATCTGAAGAGCAGTGAAATGGCTGAGAATCAGTGTTCCCTCTAAGCTGAGTTAGTGTAAGCTAGCTCACAGTTTTTTAGCCTCCAGCTCAAAGATTTTTGTCTTAGCTCAAGAAGGACGGCTCCAGAGCAAACTAATTTATGCAGTAGCCAAATCGCTGGCTCACAACTTTAATGCCAGTTGCTCACAAAGTAGAATTTTTGCACACAAGACTCCACAGCTTAGAGGGAACATTGCTGAGAATGTGGAAGACACATTGTGTGGCATACGAAGGACAAAAGAATTTGCATTGCAGCTGGATGAGTCGACTTTGACTTCTCCCTTCGTGTGCTTCTCCCTTTGTGTGCTTTATAAAAGACAAGTGCTAAACAGGATTACTTTAAAAATGCAAACAAACCAGGAAGATGGTTGGCTTATAAATTAAGAAAAGAGAAAGAGAACAACCTTGGTGTGTTCCTTTCTCTATTTGAAATTCCTCTGTTAATACTCCATTGATTAGAATCTTTGCATGTTGTTTTGTCTAAATAGAATCATAGAATATTAGAGTTGGAAGGGACCTTGCAGGTCATCTAGTCCAACCCCCTGCACTCTGCAGGAGCATAGCTGAAAGATAGCCGTACAACAAGATGGCTGTCCAGTCTCCGCTTGACAATGTCCAGCGAAGGAGCATCTACCACCTTTTCAGACAGTCTGTTCCACTGCTCAACCACTCTTACAGTTAGGAAGTTTCTCCTGATATTTAGCCGGTAACAACTCCCTTGTTCTAGTCTTGCAATCTGGAGCAAGAGAGAATACATCTGCTCTATCTTCTGCAATCATGTCCCCTCTAAACCTTCTCTTTCCCAGGCTAAACATACAAAACTCTTTCAGCCTTTCCTCATAAGACTTGGATTCCAACCCTCACACCATCCTGGTTGCCCTCTTCTGGACACGCTCAAGCTTGTCAACATTCTTCCAAAAATGTGGTGCCCAAAACTGGACACAGGACTCCAGGTGAGGCCTGACCATAGCAGAACTACCACCTCCCGTAATCTGGACACAATGCTTCTGTTAATGCATCCTAAGATTGCATTAGAAGAAGAAGAAGAAGAGATTGCATTTATACCCCGCCCTTCACTACCCAAAGGAATCTCTTCGCAGTCACATCACACTGCAGGCTCATGTTTAGCTTGTGATCAACCAGAACACCTAGATCCCTTTCACATGTGCTGCTGTCAAGCCAAGTCCCTCCCATTCTATATCTGTGCCTTTGATTTTTTGTACCTAAGTGTAGGACTTTGCACTTATCTCTATTGAAATTCATTTTATTTGTCTCAGCCCACTGTTCCAGCCTATCTAGATCATTTTGAATCCTGACTCTGTCTTCTTCAGAATTAGCAATCCCACCCAGCTTTGTGTCATCTGCAAATTTGATAAGCATCCCCTCAATGTCTTCCTCCAGGTCATTTATAAAAACATGGGCTGCGGTCACACGGAGAATTAGCTACCCTACAGAGACGGAAGATAGACGGATTTTCCGGACATGATCACACCGCAACATCTGGGAAGCGTAGAGCTCCCGCAGCTAACCCGAGGCTTCCCACTGAAAATGTGGGGTAAAAAACTAGTACCTCCAAGGTACTAGTTTCCGGAAACCGTGGGGCAAGGGCGGCCGTCTGATCATGTTTCTGGTGGTAGTTCGTGGCATCCAGTGCCCACCCATGTCCCCTCGCAAAAAGGTTTTTTCCCCCCAAGTCTCCACAGGATGCACACAAGCACCCAATGGAGCATTCGCACACTTCAGTTTAAAAAAACCCACAACCCCGTTTGCCCCCTCGAAAATACACTTTCCCACCCACCTCCCGGTCAGGGCGGGAGACCTCCCGGTTTCCCCGGGAACATTTTGTGAAAGCTCCTGAGCATGTGAGGGGCCCGAATATCCCCTACTTCCACCCATTCAGGGTGCTGGGGTCCGAAATCAGTCCATTCAACCAAGTAGAAGAGCTTTCCATGTTTCACCTTAGAGTCTAATATGTTGGCAATTTCATAGTGTGCTTCTCCATCCACCAGTACGGGGGGGGGATGCAATTGGAACCACGGGCAGGACCTTCTTAAGTAAGCTAAAATGAAACACAGAATGTAAAGACCATAAATTCTTAGGCAGTTCAACAGCGACATCATTAATCACTTTTCTCACTTTGAAAGGTCCAATAAATTTCCAGCCCAATTTTCTACTGGGACGCAACAGTTTCATATTCTTAGTGGACACATACACATAGTCACCAGGCCGTAGAGCCCAACCCTCCACCCTTCCTCTATCAGCCTGTTTCTTATAGTTGGCCTTGGCCATGTCCAATGTTTTGCACAGTAGCGGCCAGGCTTGACACAATGTCTTGCACCATGTGTTGGCATCACCTGATGGTCCCTCTCGTTGCCCCTCCAAGAACGGAACTGGGGGGCTGTCATAACCAAAAGCAGCTTTGTAAGGTGACATGCCAATAGAGGTGTGACACGTGTTGTTATAACAGTACTCAGCAAGAGGAAGTAAGTCACACCAGTTGTCCTGTTGATAGTTGGTAAAACATCGTAAATATTGTTCCAAGGTCTGGTTCACTCGTTCTGTCTGCCCATCAGTTTCTGGGTGGTAAGCACTGCTCAGGCCCCTCTCCACTCCCTTAATCTCCATCAGCTCTCTCCCAAACCTGGAAACAAATTGCGTGTCCCTATCAGAGATCACCTTGGCAGGTAGCAGATGGAGACGTACAATGTTGTTAAAGAAGGCTTTTGCCAATGCTTTGGCGGTGGGGAGTGAAGGGAACTGTAAAAAATGTGCTTGCTTCGAAAACAAGTCAACCACCACCCAAATAACCGTTTTGTTTCTGCTGGGTGTGAGGTCTGTGATAAAGTCCATAGATATAACTTCCCATGGCCTGTTGGGGGTAGGAAGGGGATGTAACAGTCCCGGTGGTTCCCCCCCACCCTTGGTTTACTCAAGGCACACATTTGACATGTTTGCACAAACGCCGTTAAGTCCTTACGCATGTGCAGCCACCAGAACTGACGTTTGAGCAATTGCAGAGATTTAACAAATCCCGATGGCCCCCCCAGTTTGGATCCATGGGTTGCCTCTAGGATTTCCCCCCGTAGCTTGATAGGCACATACAGTTTACCGTCCTTGTACCAACATCCATTTTCCTCTACGTAACAATCCTCCACCCCCTGCACAAGCAATTCGTCCTCCTTAGAAAACCCGCCCCGAAAGTCGTTCAGCCAAGAATGCTCGAGGGGAGGGGTAGTTGGCTGAGAAGGTGGAGAGGCGGGGATTTTGGAGGCTTGACTCCGAGTGGTAACCGCTCCCCCCAGTTGGGCGGGTGTGAAAATTGAGTCCACAATTACGTCCCGTTGACTGGCATGCTGGGGGAGACGTGACAACCCATCCGCTAGCGAGTTAGCGGACCCTGGGAAGTGATGGAGGCTAAATTGGAATTTGGAGAAAAATCAGCCCATCTGAGTTGCTTGGCATTTAGGCACCGGAGCGATTTTAGAGTCTCAAGATTTTTGTGAT